AGGGGGGGGGGGGGGGGGGAATCAGACGAGGAACAACGACAAAGAGCCGCGGCGGCGGCAGTGGTGGCCGGCGGACAGCCGGAAGACGTGGACGGCGGCAGTAGTCCCGTCGAGCGGTGGGCAGTCCTCAAGCTCCAATTCTTCAATTTCTTCATCTTCTTCAACAATTGGTAACCCTTATTTGTCCATTTTTATTTTTTTTCCTCCAATTCTATGTAAAAGTTTATTTTTGATTCAATTTTTACATGTTTGTTTGCTTGCTGTGTTAATTTCGTAAATTAAAAAATATGGTTGGTATTTTTTTTAATGGGATTTTTTTTTGAATGTTTATATTAAATCCCTTATGAATGAGAATTGATTCAAACTAGTTTTTCTTCAAATATTGAGCAAGTTGTTTTTGAATTGGTTGAATTGCATAATTTGATTTCCTAAGTAGGTTGGTATGTGGAATTCGGTTTTTGTTGAAGCTATTTTAGCTCCATAAGGTAGTTAAATGAACTCTGAATTCATACGTGATTCTTTGTTGTGATTTGTGTTTGTTGATTTTAAGAATTTTGGACTTCTTAGCCCCATAAGATAAGATGATTCATTTTTATTAGAATTCGTTATTGAGTGATTATTGTGTTTTCGTGTTTTTGTTTGTTGTTTTCATTAAGTTGGGGTCGTTTAAGCTCAAAAACAATTCCCAATTTATTGAAAATATGTTGTGTTCATTTATGTGAATAGAAAAAACTACATTGGTTTGAGAAGTTAATGGAAATCTGTGAAATGTGCTCATCATTAGGATGAAAAGTTTATTAAAATACATAAGGTATTGGCGGTTTATGAATAGATTATGTATGAGAGTTGAATGCATAATAGATTCTCTCTTTTATAAACTTTTTCTATAGTGGAAGTATGTTTTCATGCTTGAATAGAGAGTTGGGGTTCTAAGGTATATTTCAAAACGGGCCTTTGAATTGCATGACTCCGGGCCGTGTGGAGAGTTGACAATCCTCCATATCGTGGTTAAGGAAATGAATCGACTAGGCCTTTGATTGGTTTTTTCTATTCTTAAGTGCGTAAGTTACGTAATATATTGTCTATGTGCATATTATACATGTAATGTTCAACTCGTGTTTGTTCTTTTTCTTCATTTTGTTTCGGGTTCTTGGCGGTGTTTCTTGGGTATCTAAGTTAGAGAAATTGATTATCTTTAGAGCTTGTTTTCTCCCATTTTATCAAAAAAACCAAAAAAATACGGAGTAAGAAAAATCAAAAAATCAAAAAAATGTTTTCTTTTTATTCAAACCCCCCCCCCCCCTCGTGTTTAAGTTATAATATAAATTTTTATTTACTAAGTTTATTTAATAAATGTTTTGTTTATAAGTTATAAATATAAGTTTTTATACTTAATTATTCTTTAGTATATCTTTAGTATGTGTTATATGCTTATAAGTTATATTATAAGTTCTTTGTTTATATAAGTTATATTTATAAGTTTTTATATTTATTTAGTTATAAGTTTTATTATAAGTTTTATTATGTGTGTAGTAGTTAACTTTATTTTTTAGTGACAATGTGTGTGCATGCTAATTTGATTTCAAAAGTACAAACTCTCTGTGGGATCGACCCTTACTTGCCCTAGCTATAGTTTTATTTGATTATATATTGGGGGTTAGTTAAGGTTATTTATAAATTTTTAATTTGTTTTGGACCTCACGACAAGTCTTCAACACATAGAAATTTGATATATCAAAATTACACATTAAAACAAACAGAATCATATTAAATTTAGTGTATAACTGAATATACCCTTTTCACAAAAGAATTATTTATAGATAGGAGCAAAAGTTACATAAAAAAACCAAAATAGAAGTTGCATTGTTTTTATACTATAAACAGAAAATTTATAGTGTGCACTGTCGCAACGTAATTATAATATAGCAGCGTGAATGATGACAATATGAAGGTTGTAGTCCAAATGTCCAATGGTGGACTATCAGGCAACGGTGGTAAGCTCCAGCCACCTACAATAGACGACAGCGCTTCTGAGACCGGCGGTGGCCCTCCAATGATAGTTTGGCAGTGTGAGAGTGACAATGTGAACTCCTATTTAGATCATAAATATAGTGTTACTCTTATTTTAGCATATTAATCACTTTTTTCCTATTTATAGAATTTCTCCTCATTTGTGGCCAAAGCAATATTTTGTGGTCAAAGCAAAAAAAACCAAACTTAATTCTTAAAACCTTTTAGTGTTTTGTTTTTTGGTGACATCTTTTTACAGAAGTACTCCCTCCGTCTCAGTGTATTCGTCCAGTTTGACTTTTTTGAGTCAAACTGGACAAACTTTGAGCTTCAATTAAATAAAAACCGTAATGTATTCTAATATAAAAATTACTTTATTGGATTTATCGTATTGAGAACTTTCAAAATTGTATTTTCATTATGCTAATATGTAATATAAATTGAGAGTAATTGGAGCTCAAAGTTTGTCCCGTTTGACTTGAAAAAGTCAAACTGGACAAATAAACTGTGAGGGGGAGGTAGTATATTTGCTATTCCGTTCTTCGCCTTCCCATGTTCATCTGGCGACTCTGTGAATGAAGAGCTGTCTGCATCCTTCAATGATCGATCTCTCAGGGAGGACACATTTGCACATGGTTTTATTCCTCTCTTTTTTTTAAAAATTATATATAGAATAAATGGTTCTGTTTCATCGGTAGGTATTCTATGGATGAATTCTTCGCCTTCCTAATTCGTCCTTTTTAGGGTTTGTTAACTTCAAATATTTGAATAAATTGATTTGATGCCGTCACTTTAATCTCATGGTGAGCTTTTCTTCTAATTTTTCTCCTATTTTGGGGTTTATGATTCAGTAGGTGACTTGTAATCCATATCTCTCCCCTAATTTCAATTGTTCTTGAAGTGGAATGAACATATAGATAAGAAATACGGAGTAAATAGATTCAGGAATTACTATGATAGAAAATCAGTATATTTCCAATATGATATTGGGAAAAAAACAGAGCATGTACAAGAATATTTTTCTCTGCAAAATTGTTCTGATGTCTATATATAAACCTAAAGTTGTATGAAGTCTATCTATCAAGATCAACTCCTCATGCCAGGGAAGAAATGATGCCGAGGAAGGTGTCCTCGGGACAAGGGATTGTAAGCCCACCCATCGGATGATCGAATCCAAATTCTTCTTCAGCTTGACATAGCAGTTCTTGGAATGAATGGCTCTTCAAGTAGGAAATCGGGAGGACAAAGCGTTTCTTCTCGCCCTCGCCTACATAAACTGCAAAGTGACCCTTAGGAACCTCGCTTTCTCGGTCTGTTCTCGAGGAAGACCTTCTGAGGCCTCCTTGCTTCCCACGGAGAATGCGCCCCATACTAATTGCCATATTTCTTTAGGATTTATATAGAAAGAGGGTTAATTGAAGAAACAACTTGTGAAATGCTGAAAATATGATTGATCTCTGAAGGAAGCCTTTGAGTTTGAGTGGGGTGAATACCAAATGGAATGTGTATATATAGATAGATATATGATCCTTTAGCTTGCATGATAAAAAATCGAGATATGATAGCTCAGCCATATATGTCATTACCACATGCTTTTGTCTTCCAATAATGCCAATGTAATTGGATAGCCAAGTCAATGGGTTAGCCTGGAGAGGTGTCAATTGTAGTTTGGTATGACACATAGCAATATTTTTTGTAGCTTAGAAAAATTTTGCAAGGAGACATTGCCACATGGTTTTTTTTCCTCTGAAAACAGTCAATACTTTGGATGGATGTGGAAAGCTCAACTACTAAGGAAGATGAAAGATTAATGGTATTTGCCCAAAAAATAGCTCAACATATTTTCTTGAATGGAGGACATATAGCCATGTGACTCTGATCAAATGTCTTTCTGATTGAATAGCTAAATGACCCCATTTGTTTAGTTGGCACATGGGTTTTTCCTTCTCAAGACAATCAAGCTTGTACCAGCCACCTATACATGTTAAATAGATCACTTGCCTTTGCAACCTCAAATATATATATATATATATATATATATATATATATATATATATATATATATATATATATTCAGGCATGTTCTCTTCCATTCAATTTCTCTATATTAGGTATTTGAAATTAGCTCCAAAAACTTTGGTGCATTATTTACTCTACCGCGAGCTATCTGATTGAATTTGTCTCAGTTACTTTATATGTGTGTTTGTCGGCTTCACATAAACTGAGACATGCAGAGAAAGTGATTTGGTAGACACCATTTGTATTCTTTTGGAATGCGAGGAATCTACGACGATTGGTCCTATGCGAACAGATCCCCAATCAAGTTCAAGGATGACCAGGCCATTAAATGCCAACCTTTTGTAATGGAAAATATTCTCGTTTAGCTCTGCTAAAAACTCCCTTGTCTGGTTTGGATGAGCCTGAGAAATAAGCTCTTAATGGAATTGGAGCTACTTTGCAAGAACGGACTAAGACACAACTGCCCTTTCAACCGAGCGACATATTTTGCTTGTTCTTCAAGTGCATCTTGTGATTATGAACAGTAGTTCTAAGAATTAAAATGTTCTTAATTCATTAACTGCAACTTGATCTCTCATATGTACACACACGTTTATTCCATATTACTGGTATATAACTACAACAAATTCTCGGCTTGACCTCCCTAACTCTTTTTCATTTCACTTTTTCTATAACAGCAATATAGTTTCAACCTTCAATGTCAAATGGAACGGACAATTGATTCCGTAAAGTTGGATACCACTGTCTGTGCAAGATGTTCAGAAATAGATTCACATACTGTGAATAAATTGGCAGTCAATATGTCACTTGTCTCTAATGCTAATGTGATTTCCATTATCTTGTGAAGTGATATTAGACCAAAATGGCGTATGAAGAGCACCCCTATGGCCAAGTGGAGAGGCCAAAGTATGATTGCCTTCTATTCGGTATGACTTCTGAGTTGCGTAAAGTCATTGGTACCCTTATGTAAGTTGCAAGGGACAAGTAGTACCCATTTAACCAAACCAAAACGTCATTTATACGAGTACAACCCGTGCAAATTAAAGTACTGCCTGTCACAAATTAAATTCTTGTTTCCTTTCTTGCCGAATTATGAAAAGGTGAACTTATAGAGAAGACATTATTGTGACTCTCTCATATGAGATTTCACAAATTCAAACCCCAAATAAGGCACAGACTCTGATTCAATAGGTTGAAAAAAAAGTTAAGAGTACTAAAAAGAGGGAGAGAGAGAGAGAATCAATATGAACCGCCGAATGGGGTGGTTGATTCTGTCGTTATATGACGCATTGTTATATTCTTGTTTTTGTTCTTCTGGGTTTTGCAGATCTTGATGATACACTTTATTCCTTCAGTTATGGTTTGGCAGCAGCATGTGGCAAAAATATTAGAGGTATCTTTGCACTCTTCACTCTAACTGCAATTCCTGCTGGTTTCTTTCTTTTCAACGTTTATCTGTTAGTTTTTTTTATTATCCAAACATTCTCTATATTACATGGTTGAAAAACTCGGTATCCAACCCAGCAAAATTCAACTTCCATTTTCTTTTCTTCAGGAGATTAAAGATAAAAATATATATGTCCTATAAGTTATCTGTTGAATCTTAGTTTTTGTATACTTGGTAAGATCTTGAATAATGATGAGACTTTATTTCAAACCACTTGATGATGTTCAAGATATCAGATGTGTAATAAACAAATAGATCTTCCATAGAATTAGGGTAATACCGGGTTTTTTTCCAAAATCTCAATTATTTGGCCGGATCTTATCTTTGGAGTCTGAGTCTGTTTACTTGATCCCTGGAAACGGTTTGACCCCGATGATGATATTCTTAGCCACTTTCCGAGATCCAAATCTCTCAGGTCCAATTGATTCGTATTATGGATTAGAAGTCGCTAGAACCCAATCATTCCTTATATATATGTATGTTTGTTCCGATCTCTTTGCTTTTCATACCAGACTGAATTCAAACCCTAGCAACCAGCAACATTGGGATCCCACCATCAAGTGTCCTTCAATATGGCAATGAAACGGAAGAACCAGCCCCCGCCTGCTCGTTAGTATTTGATATCGGTGATTTTGATTTTAATACATTTTGTTTCCGAATGAGTTCTAATGTTTTAATTATTTTTTGATATTTGTTTGCAGTCCTGCCTTTCACGCCTCAGCATTCAACGAAATTCAGCAAATGGCTCAGATCTGGTCAAAGTGGCGGAGCTAGACGCGGCCAGGCCGGAGGCCGGAGCATTTTAATTTAAATAAAATGAGTTTAAAAATTTGATATTTAACCTCCTTTTTCAATTTCAAATAAACTCAAATCGAATATTACAAATCAAAAAATAATTTGAACTTAAATAAGAGATTTACTCCATGAAATTAATCAGAAATAGTACACCCTCTGTTTTTTTGATTTGTAATATTCGATTTGAGTTTATTTGAGATTGAAAAGGGAAGTTAAATATCAAATTTTTAAACTCATTTTATTTAAATTAAAATGCTCCGGCCTATCCGCGTCCTGCTCCGCAACTTTGACCGGATCTGAGCCATTTGCTGAATTTCGTCGAGTGCTGAGGCGGGACTGCGAACAAATATCAAAAAATAATGAAAACATTAGAACTCATTCAGAAACAAAGTGTATTAAGATCAAAATCACCGATATCAAATACTAACTAGCAGGTGGGGCTGGTTCTTCCGTTTCATTGCCATATTGAAGGACACTTGATGGTTGGATCCCATGGTTGTTGGTTGCTAGGGTTTGAAATCAGTTTGGTATGGAAAGCAAAGAGATCGGAACAAACATACATATATATAGGGAATGACTGGGTTCTAGCGACTTCTAAGCCATAATATGAATCAATTGGGCCTGAGAGATTTGGATCTCGGAAAGTGGCTAAGGATATCATCATTGGGGTCAAAACGTTTCCAGGGTTCAAGTAAATAGACTCCAAAGATAAGATCTGGCCAAACAATTGAGATTTTGGAAAAAAACCGGTATACCCTTGGGAACCTCATTATCTATTAGTTTTTTATTATCCAAACGTTCTCCAGATTACATGTTCGAAAAACTCGGTATCGAACCCAGCAAAATTCAACTTCCATTTTCTTTTCTTGAGGAGATTAAAGATAGAAATATATATATATATATATATATATCTGTGTGTGTGTGTGCGCGCGCGCGCTATAAGTTATCGGTTGAGTCTTAGTTTTCGTATGCTTGGTAAGATCTTGATTAATGATGAGACTTTATATCAAACCACTTGATGATGTTCAAAATATCTGATGTGTAATAAACAAATAGATCTTCCATTAATTTCAAAAAATATATATTTCCCGATCTGATGGGGGAAAAACAGAACACTGTACAAAAAAATATGTTATATCTCTGGAATGTTGTTCTAATGACTAAACTAAAATGTCTAAAATGTATCAAGATCTACTAATTCTAGAGATGATGCCCAGGAAGGAGTCCTCTAGACAAGGAATCGTAAGCCCACCCATTGGATGATCAAATCCGAATTCTTCTTCGGCTTGACATAGCAAGTCTTGGAATGAATGGTCCTTCAAGTATGAAATTGGAAGAACAAAGCGTTTCTTCTCGCCCTCGCCTACATAGACTGCAAAGTGACCCTTGGGAACCTCGCCTTCTCTGTTAGTTCTTGAGGAAGACCTTCTGAGGCCATGTTTCCCACGGAGAATGTGCCCCATGCCGATTGCCATTTTTCCTTTGAACTGTTTGTAGTATGAATTTGAATGGGATATTCACAGAAAACAAATTCTGAAAGCAGAAACTCTGTTTTCTCTGAAGAAAGATCTTGGTTTGTGTTTTGTTGGATGTAGTAGCTAGCCATTAGAATGTGTTTATATAGATATATAGATAGATATATGATCCATTCAGGAAGTTTCCAGCTTGCAAGATGATGTTGTGTTATTGGTGTGACAGCTCATTTGTCTTCCAAATGTTTTTGTCTTCCAACAATAATAATGTGTACTACCAACTTTACATGCACAGAATATCATTCCCCACCAGATGAGATATGAAGATGTCACCAAGTAAGTTAATGGATTGGCCTCAAGTGAAATCTAACATGGTCAATCATGGTTTCTTAAGCACTTCAAATAGATTAGCATAGTATATTGGCCTCATCAGACACTGCAACAAAGCATTTCAGATCTTCTAAAGATCTCTTTCGGTTCCATTTAGCCCCTCTCCATTTAGCCACTTTTCCAATTTTGCGTATTTGAAATTTTTTTTATTAGTGAATAAATTATCTTAAATGTTAACTGCAAAACATATTTTCATTGATGATATTAGAGAATGAGAAACACATTTGAAGGGTTTGTTTCATGTTTCACTCTCGCTTCTTGAATTTGTGATACTTGGACAAGGTAAATGTTATGTTTGAAAAATAAGATTACAAGGCAACCCTTAGGAAGAAGAACTTGGAGTTCCTAAAAATACAGTGATGACAATTTTTGGACTTCCTAAAAATATGGTGACGATTCTGGTCTTGAATACTCATAGAATGACAATTTTGGTAGGATCCCAACGACACAACAGTGACAATGCGTCGAAACATAATTATCTTCGTAAACGGCACGGTTCTGGTAACACTGCCATACTGAGTATCGTTGACATTACGGTGCCACTGCCATTTGGCATAGAAAAAACTTTGTGATAATAACTAAGAGCACCAGCACTATTGTGGCTTTGTCGCTGCCTCGTCTGCCACATCACCACATAACACATGTTGCTTTGAGGGGCCCATACAATTCTCCATGCCTTGTAAGCCATGCCCGAGGCATTTGTTCCATATTTCATCTCTTTTTTTTTCATAAAATAAAAGAATAAAAAAAAGGTAGACGTATTTTTTGGAAATAATTACGAGCTAAATAACATCAATATTTACACTGTTAATTATGACCATGTACATTACCAAAAAGTATAATAAAATGTCCATGTGCAGTGTTACATTACCACAGTATAAATTTCTTTTTAAATTATAAAAATATATGAAACTTCTATTTTGTTACTTTCTCTATGTTCTACTCTTATTGAGGGTGATTTCTTTAACCATATTGAGTAAACAACAAAATTATTTTTCCTCTCTAATTTTTTGAACATAATAGTGTTACTTTTTGCATGCTAATTAAGGACAATAATTCATTGCATGCTATACGAGTATATTATAGAAATATCAATTTCTAATTAAGTACGAATGCATGACTAGATTCTAGATATATTGTATAAACACAATTATTAAGAATGAAATTTATTAGATTACTATAAAAGAATTTTTCTAAATTTGAAGTCTATAGATATTATATTTCACTATAAATAAGTCTCCTCCATGAAAAACATACACATCAAATAATAAGCTTTTGAGTTGTTGTAGCTCATAATATCACGACATAGTAACGATGGAGAAAAAAATTCTTTTTGCTTTTGTTGTTATGGTTGCCTTTACAGTTGTTGCCTCTGGTATGTCATTTTTCTCTCTTTCTTTTATATTTTGAAAATAAATTGTGTTGATTTTCTAACTAAAAAGTTATTTTTTTATTCTATTTTATGATATATTTTATTGGTCAAGTCGTAATTCTAGCTGCTTCTAAAGGGTGTAACTAACAATAGTCCAAGGTCAAGAAAATATATTAACTATTATATGTCTCAATGTATTCAAGTTTGACTTTTTCAAATCAAATTGTACAAACTTTTGAACGTTACTAATTAAATAAAAATTGTAAGAATATTACTATAAGAATGACTTCATCATAAAATTTATCTTTTAGAAAACTTTTAAAATTATATTTCAAAACTATCACATTGTATTAATTAATATGCAATACAAAATATACGAAATTACTAGGATGGAAGGAGTAAATTAAATATCTAAATTATAGAGTCCGTAGAATTAAGTCATTTAGGGACCAAATATATTTGATGATGGAATGTTATTAAAAAATATCATTTTGCTTTATAGTATAATTGTTTCTATTATTTAACAATATTTTTACTTTTATTTTTGTAGCTAAGAAAATGATGCCAATGGTTCATGTTGAAGGCTCATGCCAGATTGAGTTTCCCGGAGAATGTGAAGTGATTGACCCCACCTTTTGTTTTGCCGCTTGTGCTGATAAAGTCCCAAAGGGCACTCTTCAAAATGCTAAATGTGTTGAAAAAAGTCCACAAAATGATTGTGTTTGTTTCTACTCTTGTTAGAGAAAATACAAAGCAATAACAATTCTTGAATAAATTAGATTTGCTCTTCACTATATACAATTTTCTTGTTATTTTTAAAATTTGTAGTTGTATTCATCAATTACTATAGAAAAAATATAAGTGGTAAGGAAATTGATCATTTACTCCCTCCATCCCAATTGATTTAGGCATTGCGAATTACATTAGTAGTATAAAATTATAAATTTATTTTCAATTCAATTTATATGAAAGTTAAGGTAAAAGTTAAACACAAAATTTATATATACTAAAAAGAGCATAAGGACTAAAGTAATTGTAATACCCCAATCCGTCCAGGTCTGTAGCCCCTTTCGGACTAAAGTATTAACTTGGTAATCGTAAAATTTAAAACTTTTCAAACACTTTTATTTATCATAATAATATTTTTCATATCACAAACAGTACAGAGTTTTCAATATTGCGGAAGCTTAACAAATCATAACCACAAACATAATTTATTTATATTCCTTAATTTAAAACCATCACATCCATTCCGACTATCTCGCCTCCGTCTGCCTCCAGGATCACGTCACATCATTCTATAGACCTGCGTGTAGCAAATAAAACACACTACACGCTCAGCGGTAAAGCTGAGTAAGCATATCTAATGCGTCGAACATCCACATAAATTGAATCTCAATTCATAATCAAATCATTTGATATCATGCACATAATGTTCAGTTCAGATATTCAATAATCAATATTCAATTTTCAACATTTATTTTTCAACCATTCAACATGTATATTGGCCATTCATATTCAGCATTCACCATACAATATTCATTATTTGTCATTCACAATATCCTTAAACTATTCTTAGTCTAAGGCCAATCTGTCTAATGTTTACCAACTCTTAAACGAATTCTAGTTTAACATAGTTAAACTATATTCAAGTTTAAGGTACTCTTATCTAACCCTTAAGCTAGGCCTAGTTTAAGATATAATTTTCAAAAAGAGATTTTCAAAATCTTAAACTTACCTTCGATTAAGGTCATCCAAAAACCGAACAGCGGATCCGAAATGCTCACTGTCGGGTTGGGTGGTATCCCCAAACGAGTGCCTCAAGTTTGGTTTGTAGATCCCGTACGTACGTTTTAACCCAGGCCACCGAATNCTTACCGTCATGCATCACACAAGATTTTATTTGTCAAAAATATCATTTTTATTATGAAAATTCACCTTTATAAAGATCATAATCAATTGGTATCAAAAATAGGATTTCATAGTTTAATAATCATGTTTTCTAAACAATAATTGATTAATATATGATAAGAAATTCAATTATTAACTACTAGCTTTGTTTTCTTCAATAGTATAGGGAGACAGTCTACTGTCACTTCTGATAATCTATTATCTGATGTTCTGAATGAGTTGATAATCGATTATCACACTCTGATAATCGATTATCAAACTTCTGAGAGGGCTGATAATCGATTGTCACATTCTGACAGTCGATTATTGCTCAGCTTTGTTCCAAAAATCTGCAGAACGATGCATAATCGATTTTCAAGTTGATAATCGATTATCCATCGTCTTCTACCTCGATCCAACTTGCGGAAATGTCATTTTAAGTTCCCAAACTTCAATTAAAGTATACAAAAAGGTTCTCCAAGGTTCATAGATCATTTTGGTACCATTAATTTGTAGTTTTAACAACAATTTCAAAGTTTATGATTCTTGGTTCTTCAAACATGTCAAACACAAAATTCAACCAAACGATCGTTTATGAACGTAGAAACGATCTATATGAACATTCTAATAACTAGATATATCAACGGGCTTACCTCGAAGCTTATTGAAGGTTTTGGAAATTTTCCGGCGAAACTTCCGGCGAAGATTGTGGCTAGTTCCGGCGACTTCTCAACAAAATGGCAGCACCAGTGTACTCCTCTCTCAACAAAGAACAGAATAGAAGGAAATATGGAGTGTTTTGATGAAGAATTGAGGAAGATTGAATTCCTTATATAGAGAAGGGAAGAAGAAAAGGAAACTAGGCTGAGTAGATGCTGCGTAGATTTCCAATTCACCGATCTTCTTTCGGCTATAAAGAGATTGAGCACGTTACTCCCTGATTGGGACTAATTTGGTCCCAGTCAGGGTACACTTTTTGGTCCAACTTTTTCCGAATTGAATTCCGTTTGCACCGTTGCGATCAGACAGTTAAACTCTATCCAACGATATAACTTTTATATTTATTTATATTACTTTTTCCGACATCATATTTTTGGGTAGTTGACTTTGACAGAGTCAAAATTGATTTGTTTGACCTTTACTCAAAAAGGTGCTCATATTTAATTCATATTATTTATTTCCATGATTTATTTCAATAAATCATTTCAAAGTTCTCATAACAAACAATTCCTTCATTTATTCTTAATTTGCGTATGTACTCAGGTTCCCAATCAAGATCACACAATAAGTCAACAGGTTGGATTTATCTCTATGAGATTTAACCCAATTATATTTATTGGTCATCAATGTATATTTTATTTCGGCCCAAAGCCCAACAATAATTTATTTTAATCAAAACAAATTTTGTTTAATTGAATATTTAATTCAATAAATTTTAGGGTATATTTTGGGGCGTTACAGTAATAGTGAAATATTAAAAATATACC